TCATCTGAAAATACCTGACATTGTGTGAGAATGTTCTGATTTACTCCAAAAACTCATCTGGTTTAGGATGGGTTTTAGTGGACCATATGTTCCATGAAGCACTTGATTTGGGCTCTGCACCACTTTTAAATTACAAACATTGTTCTCATACAGGGACTTTAAAAAAATTGATTTTAAACATGTGTATATATGGCTAAACATAATTGTTTGTTTATACTTTATTGAGAGCCTATAATTTTTAATATAATTCAATATCTTTGGCATTATTTTCAAAGATGTTTTATTGGACTCTTCAGAAGTTTAGGGTATTAGTCCTTCTTGTCTACTATATTGACTTGTAATAATTTGTTAAGTCATAATCAGAAAGTTAATTTTTAGCCAAGTATATGTTAGAACTAGTAGTTTTATTCTATTTAAAAGCACAGTACAGGCCAGCTGCTGTGACTCATGCCTGTAATCCCAGTGCTTTGAGAGACAGAGGCAGGAGGATTCCTTGAAGCCGGGAGTTCGGTCTAGTTTGGGCAATACAGTAAGACCCTGTCTCTACAAATATATATATATATATATATTTTTTTTAATTAGCTAGGCATAATGGTACACACCTATAGCCCTAGCTACTCGTGAGGCTGACGAATGAAGATCGCTTGAGCCCAGGAGTTCGAGGCTGCAGTGAACTATGATCACACCACTGCACTCCAGCCTAGGTGGCAGAGCAAGACCCTGTCTCTAAAATTATATACATATAGGTTTTATATGTAGATAAAACGTTTTGGCCATATACATGTGTGTGTGTGTAATTTGGCTAAGTTCATAGAGCACAAAGCCAATTACCTCATTTACCTAATTACCTAATTTGGAGATACCAATTTTCACAAATATAATAGCTAAATATTATACAATGCTTAGATTTCATTTTGACTCTGCAAACTTTGCTTTAAAACTTGTAGTTTTCGTGATAATAAAGTGCTAGGTATTGAATGGTCAAATTTTCCCTTCTTAAAAATCAGGTGAATATTGATCAATGTGCTTTACATTCAACTTGGAGCCAGGGCTTTATTTTCCTAACCAGGACTTTTCGTTGTTTCTAATGCCACACTTTAGATATATTGAATTATCTCATTTAAAAATAAAAAGCAAGTCTTGAATATGTGTTATTACAAATGTGAAATAATTCTGTGGATTCTGTGGAAATAAAATAATTTATAGAGGGCTGTGAATCTATTTGAATTTTAGGGCCTATTTTCATATAAACCTGCTTTTTATCAGGTGCATGAATTTCTTTATATGCTATATACTATTTGGGAAGAAACATATATAACAAATTTAAACCTTTTTTTTTTTTTAGATTATATTTCAGTAGTTTTGGGAAACAGGTGGTTTTTAGTTACATGGAAACATTTTTTAGTGGTGATTTGTGAGATTCTGTTGCACCCGTACCTGAGCAGTGTACACTGTCTTTCATTCCTCACTGCCAGCTTTTTTAAAAACTTTGATATATGTCTTGCATGGCCTTTCTTTTCTTTTTAGGGGAGTTTAGTGATGGCTCCAATGAAGCTGGTGGCATCTACCAAGTCCTAGAAATACCATATGAAGGAGATGAAATAAGCATGATGCTGGTACTGTCCAGACAGGAAGTTCCTCTTGCTACTCTGGAGCCATTAGTCAAAGCACAGCTGGTTGAAGAATGGGCAAACTCTGTGAAGAAGCAAAAAGTAGAAGTATACTTGCCCAGGTGAGAGGTTCCTGTGTCACCCTTCCCACAACGTGGACAATGGGCTATCAATGATAATCTGATCTAGAAAAACTCTTGGAACTGCTTTCGAATCATAATTCTTGTGCTACTCTCTTCTTGTTCTTGTTCTTCTCCTTCTCTTCCTTCTCCTTCTCTTTCTCCTTCTCCTTCTTCTTTGATTTTCTTCTTTTTAGTATTCTTTCACAGTCATTTCTTTCATACTCGTGTGGTCCTTCCCATAGACACATGCTCACTTATTGGTTCATTCAGTGCTATTCATCAAGACCTACTTTCAGATATAATCCAATGTTCTTGGCTTGGTTTTAGCAAATTCATCTATCTATTTTCTCTGAATATCATTTGCATTGACAGTCTTCTGTATTTTATTAATACTTAAGGTTGATTATAACTGGAGAAGAAACAATCTCTGACTCTAGAACTGCAAGCAAGTCACTGTGCTAGGTGCTGAGATGCAACCATGAATTAGCAGGAAGATGCAACTGTGCTCAATATTCTCCCTGTGGCTAAAAGAATAAGATGCACACAATGCCTTTAATGTCCTGAATGCCTTCCCCTTCTCAACCCCATTTCTGGCCACTTGCCACATCAAGCATGTTGTAGCATGTTCTGTCCATGTACTTGTGATTATACCATATACATCATGCTATTTTCATGTCTCTGAGTCTCCATTTATGTTCTTGCATTGGCCTAAAATGTCCTCCTCATATTTCTTTCCCAAGATAGTGTTGCGTAGTCTTCAGGGTACACCTCTAGAGCCATTTCTTCCCTGAAGTGTCCCATGAACTACCTGGATCAAGTGACCCTCACTTTTGCTTCACTTATACACCTTTCTGTTATTACTTGTTACCGTCCCATAATAACATTATATTTTGTAGGGATAGTTTTCTTTCTGTAAGTTCTTCTAGGGTAGAGCCAGTTTTCTTTCCTATAAAAAGAACACAATAAGTGTTTGCAAAATGAAATTGAACTGAAAATGTTTATTCTATCCCTGAATACCTTAAAACCTAGTAGGAGAGCTAGGCCAGTTATCACA